TAATAATAATAATAATAATAATAATAATAATAATAATAATAATAATACTTACTTTATGAGCAGCTGCCAGGGGAGAGGAGGAAGCGCTGAGAAGCCTCATGGACACTTCCAGATGTTGTGGAGGAAGGAAGAAATTGGGCACCATAATCGGCTCGGATCTGAGGAACAGGATTAAGGAACAGAACAGGCGGGGTGGGTGGTCCTCGACTTACGACGCTCCATTTAGTGAGCGTTTGAAGTTACTGGGGCTCTGTAACTTTGTTAAGGAGGATAGAAGGAAGGGGAGGAGGGAGGGAGAGAAGGAAGGAAGGGCAGAAGGAAGGAAGGAAGGAAGGAGCGAACCTGATGGCGCAGGGGTTACAGTACAAGAGGCTGATTCCATCTCACCGCCAGCAGTTCGATCCTGACCACCTGGAGGCTGATCCATCCTTCCCTTCAAGGTCATTAAACCGAGGGTCTAGATTTTGGGGAGCAAGAGGCTGACTCTGTAAACCACTTAGAGAGGGCTGTAAAGCCCTGTGAAGGGGTATATAAGTCTAAGGGCTAGCGCTATGGCTAAGAACAAGATGGCTGAAATCTCTATTAGCCAAGTCAGGCTATTTCCCACGTTGCCTCCATATGAGGAGCACACAAATTTACTAAATAAATTGATACAACCTAGAGCTGGCACTTGTCTAGAATGACTACTACCGGTATCAGACCGTCGGGGTGATATAGTGGTGAAGGCGCTTGGCTAGAAACCAGGAGACGGGGAGTTCTAGTCCCGCCTTAGGCCTGAAAGCCAGCTGGGGGACTTTGGGCCAATCACCAGGAGACGGTGAGTTCTAGTCCCGCCTTAGGCATGAAAACTGGCTGGGCAACTTTGGGCCAATCACCAGGAGACGGTGAGTTCTAGTCCCGCCTTAGGCATGAAAGCCAGCTGGGCGACTTTGGGCCAATCACCAGGAGACAAAGAGTTCTAGTCCCACCTTAGGCATGAAAGCCAGCTAGGCAACTTTGGGCCAATCACCAGGAGACGGTGAGTTCTAGTCCTGCCTTGGGCATGAAAGCCAGCTGGGTGACTTTGGGCCAATCACCAGGAGACTGGGAGTTCTAGTCCCGCCTTAGGCATGAAAGCCGGCTGGGCGACTTTGGGCCAATCACCAGGAGACGGGGAGTTCTAGTCCCGTCTTAAGTACAAGCCAGCTAGGTGACTTTGGACCAGTCCTTCTCTATCAGCCCAACCCACCTCACAGGGTTGTTGTTCTGAGGAAAATAGGAGGAGGAAGGAGTATTAAGTATATTCGCTGACTAGAACTCTTTATAAACATAAAAAGGCAAGGAATAAAAACGTACAAGCAAATAAATACATTTTCCTCATTATCTTCTACTTGATCTGATCTGTAGGTTGCCAAAAAAAGGATACAGTGGGACGACGGGCGCGTTGAACTCTTCCGGCGGGTCTTCGTCCTCTTCCTCAGAGGAGGCCTCGGTCTCCTGCAAGGGGGGGCAGAGTTGGAGGTCCTCTTCTCCTTTCCCATTCGTTCCTTCTTCCTGCTGGGGGTCTCTGGGCCGGTTTCCTCTTCCTTCTGTCGCTCCTGGAGCAATCCTCCGTGCTCTCGCAAAGTCTCCTCCACCGTTGCGCGTGGAGGAGGCCTCGGGAGGTCCTCCTTCCTTGACCTCCGTTGATCTTTCTCGGCCAACCTTTTGGATTTCCACCTGCCCCGCGGTTGATGGGTCTTCCTCCTCAGCTCCAAGTTGTGGTTCTACTTCCTCAGCTTCAAGTTGTGGCTCTTCTCCCTCAGCGTCGTTGTCCCCGTCTTCTTCTCTGAAAGGGCTGTTTCTGGATCCAGCGAGGCTGGACGCGCTCGAAGGACCCTCTTGGATCACGTCGGACACGGAGCTCCTTCCGAGGGTCCTCTCCGTCGGTGAACAGTCCCTGCCCTTCGCCGTTTGGGCCTGGTGGACTGGCTCCGGCTCGCCTTCAGATAGGAAGCTGGACCAGGGACTGGTTTTGTCCGTCACGGCGGTGATTTCGTTCAGCGTTCTCGGTTCCACGATGGCCTCCTCGTACTCTTCCTCGCTGAGGGACTGAGCGGAGTCTTCCTCCCTCCGGATCCCAGGTAGGAATCCCGAGGGAGGGGCCTTGGGGGAGTCCGCGGGGTCAAAGAATCCATCCCGCGTGTCTTCGGCAGAAGGGGACTTCCTGAAATCAGCTACGGGTTCTTCACCTACCCCGGCGTCCCAGAATTCATTGCTTGAGGGGGCTTGGAGCACCTGGGCTCTGGTGGCGCCATTTTCCTGCCCGCGGAGGGCCCGGTCCGCGCTGGAGAATCTGTGACCGTCTCCATGGCCTCGTGAGGTCTCTTCAGGGTGGCTTGTCGTCCGTCGATCTAAATTGGAAGAAAAGCAGTCAGGAAAGAGGAAAGTATGAAGGTTTTAGCATTCGGGCAACTGCCTGCGATACCAGGGTGGCATTAAACGTGCAAAGAACGAGGACAAAATTAATACAGGTCGTCCTTGGCTCATGATCGTTCACTTAGCGGCCGCTTGAAGTTACGACGGTACTAAAAAAAAAAAGGGCGACTTACGATCATTTTGCGTCCCACCATCAAAATCTGGAGGCTCTGCAAGTGCCTCGCATTTATGACGGTTGCAGTGTCCTTGGGGGTCACGCGATCCCGTTTTTCCGACCTTCCGACAGGCAAAGTCAACGGGGGAAGCCAGATTCACTTAACGACCTTGCTACTAACTTAATGGGATGACCCAAAGGGGCGTGGCACAAAGGCAACCCAGTCAGATAATCAGGAGGAGTCCCTTTCTTAGCTCCAACTTTGACCTCAATGTCCTGGTTACCTTCTGGGTTGGAGAAAAACTCTCCCAGGAACAGCAGAGAATCAAGTCCAAAACAAGGTAAACACAAACAGTAACTTAAAGTCCAAACAAGCCAAACTGAAGCAATTAGTTTGGCAGGGCAGAAGCAAGAATTCCAGATGTGAAGGCATGGCAATAATTCAACACGGCTGGAAAGAAGCCAGGAACGCAGATAACCACAGTCAACACAAGATAAACTATGTTTGTTCCCAGCATCTGCTGTACTCAGCTTGCATCTCTTTTAAACTCTCTTCCCAGGTGTGTCTAATGAAGGGAATCAGGGCCCTTTCCTCCCCCGTAAGCCAGGCAACCCACATTGCTCCCTTCTCCGTTCCTCCCTGCGTATCTTAGGATGAAGAGAGGGATGGGCCTGGGTTTTCCTCCAAATTCCCTCTCCCTTGTTCTACCTCTTCCCTGCTCTGCCCAGCCGGACTTTGCCCTTCCCCAGTTCCCTCCGCAGCCAACGGAGCCACACTCCCTTCTCCCTGTCAGCTGTTCAGCTTCCTCATCTGTCCAGACTCTGTCAGGGGCATGACACTTAACAACTGCAGTGATTCACTTAACAACTATGGCAAGAAAGGTCACACAATGGGATAGAACGAATTTAATAAATGCCTCGCTTAAGAAAAGAAATTTGGGGCTCAGTTGTGGTCGTAAGTTGAGGATGATTTATACGTATCCTGCTGGTAGTACAAACACAGCACTGGCTACCCTGCAAACCAGGGTTTTCAAAGCATGAACTAGCCTTGGCTGTGTCCGGCAATCCCCAATTTTTCACTGTGGAAGTTCCTTACCTCCATTGTTTCTGCTAACATTAAAATAGTTCTACAGGTAGTCCTTGACTTACAGCCCACAATTGAGCCCAAAATGTCTGCTGCTAAGCGAGGCAGTTGCTAAATGAGTTTTGTCCAAGTTTATGATCGTATTTGCCAGTTGTTAAATGAATCACTGCGCTTGTGAAATTAGTAAACATGGCTGTTAAGTGAACCTGGTTGTCATGCCCTTGTTGGAGTCTGATTCGGAGATTGAGCAGCTGACAGGGAGTGGGGCTCTGGTGGCTGTGGAGGAAACTGGGGAAGGGCACAGGCCGGCTGGGCATTCAGAGAAAGACCCAGAGCCACCCCCTCTTCATCCTAGGGCACGCAGGGAGGAACAAAGAAGGGAGCAACGTGGCTTATGGGAGAGGAAAAGGCCCTGATGCCCTTCATGGGCTGCAGCTGGGAAGACTGTTTAAAAGGGCAAACTGCGCATGGCAAAGTTGCTGGAAGCAAAGCGCGCATTTTCTTGGTCGAGGCTTATCTGGGTTTTGGCGTCCTCCCAACTGTGGGTGTTGCATTATCCTGTGGAAGTCTGGTCTGCCGTGTTAATGACTTCAGTGCAGTTTGTGTTGATTTTGTTTTTAGTTCTAATTATCTTTACTTTGGGTTCGGACTGCAATTCTTTCCTTCGCAGACTGTTTTTGGAAGAGTTCATTATCCAGCCGAGGATAATTGGACATTGGGGGCCAAGTTGGAGGCAATTAAAGGGAATTTATTCTACTTTGGTGACTTTTTTATTTTTGTGTCACGCCCCTTTGGGTCATCACGCTGGTTCTCCCATCAACTTTGTTTGTCCGAAAATCACAAAAGGGGACATGAATTTTGATAATGTGACCCTGGGGAGGTGGCAACGGTCGTAAGTGTGAAAAACGGTCACAAGTCATTTTTTTCAATGCCATTGTAACTTTGGACCTCACGAAATTAATGGTTGTAAGTCAAAACCTACATGCATTAGGAACAATTTTTTCCACTTTTTTTTTTTTGGATAGGTATGAGACATTTCTTCCTGAATTAAAAAAGGTATTTTTCTTTTCTTTTCTGAGCTTAAAAGTGTAAAATTTTCTGTCCTAGCAGGGCCTGTTTCTCACTTCCAGTTGATGGTTTTTTGAGCTCTGACCCTAAATTAGAGAAAGGAAACTCCAACATCAAAGTCAGACAGAAATACAGCACGGCGGATCCTTTGGTGCACAATTATATCAGGAATATCTGAATCCTCTGACACAGGGGTCGCCAACCTTTTGGACCTCAGGGACCACCAAACTCATCATTTTAAATCCTGCAGGCCGGAGATCCTGGGAAAATCCCCCCAAAAGTCTGTAGGAAAATTCCACACCCCGCTTTTCCTACCGATAGATCATTCTTTATTTGGGATCGCAGAATATCGTCTCCAGATCCGTTCTCAGGGGGAGAGAGAGAGAGACTTTTGGCTTCATGCAAGGAAAACAGCAGAAGCAGCAGAAGTCTTTCTTTCTCTCCCCCAAACTCCACCAGAATGGTGCAGCCTCTTGGAGCAGGAGGCCTTGCAGGGTCCCAAAGACTCATTTCTGGCAGAGTTTGGGGGAGAGAAAGAGAGACTTTTGCTGCTTTCCTTGCGTGCAGACAAAAGCAGAAGAAGAAAGAAGCAGCCCGGTGGCCAGGCCAGGCATGTGGGGCGCATGGGACAAGTTCCCCCCACATCCGCCCTTTCCCGCCTCCCCTCACTACCTCGTGTTGTTCACAATGCAAGCGACGCAAGCCTTGTGTTCCCACGGGCCATGTGGGCAGCGCAGCCTTGTGTTCCCGCGCAGCCTGGATTAATTCCTTTGGGGGCAACATTTCTCTGTGGATCACCAAAATTTTCTCACAGACCACCAGTGGTCCCCGGCCCACTGGTTGGCGACCACTGCTCTGACACACTTAGAACGTGGCTGGGGCTCTTTAACTTAAACCACTCAAAACTGCTGATTTGAAGGACGCAAAATGAAAAATACACAATCACACAGATATGCTGGGACAGCCTTTTCTAGACACACATACTATTTAATTTCAAAGCACACATGTTATCATTTTCTTGCAGGAACCAAACCAAGGCCAGACTGATTTTTTTTTAAAAAAAATGTTTGCAAACCGTTTCAAATTTTGTTTTGCAAAGGGAAGTGCAGTTTTCGTTCTTTCCGTTGTAAAATGGGGGCAGAACTCACTTAACAAATTGTCTAGCTTAGCAATGGAAACGAGGAGAGACTCGACTTGGAAATAAGGAGAAACTTTCTGACAGTGAAAACAATCAACCCATGGAACAAAACCTGCCTTCGGAAGTGGTGGGAGCACCATCACTTGAGACTTTCAAGAAGAGACTGGACTGCCATCTGTCAGAAATGGTGTAGGGTCTCCCGCTTGGGCAGGGGGTTGGACTAGATGACCTACAAGGTCCCTTCCAACTCTGATGATCTATTATCTGTTGAGCTCAGTTGTGGTTAAGTCAAGGATTACCTAGGTTATGTCCACTACCAAATTTGATAGCATTGTACCAGTCATTGCTGACTTCTCCAGAGCCACTCAGAAAGTTAACTGGCACCGCCATGCCAAATGGGGGACAACTTACCGACACTCTGGCTGCCAACTTGAGAAACTTGATGAATGGGTTTCTTCTGCAGGTGGTCCTCTTCTAGATTTACCGTCCTGGAGAAAGGTGTCTGGATGTCAAGACCCTCTGCAGTGTTGCAAGGAGCATTCAAGTCTGTCAGAGGTTTGGTGAGTTTTCCGCTGAAATACCTCTGGATCTCGTCCAGCTCGTCCAGGTTTTTTCTGGAATAAAAAGAGAAGAGAGAATAGAATAGAATAGAATAGAATAGAATAGAATAGAATAGAATAGAATAGAATAAGAAATATGGAGAACAGAAAATAGAATAGAAAATAATACAATAGAATATAATAGAATAGAATAGAATAAAAATAGAATAGAAAAAAAGAGAAAATAGAATAGAAATTAATAGAATAGAATAGAAATAGAATAGAAAATAATAGAATAAAAATAGAATAG